CAGACGACAGGAAATACATTGAACCTCCTTTTCGGGAAATTCCTTATCTAAATTTCATTATATACTTAACATAATTAATATATATATAACTAGCTCTACACTTTTTGTGTATTGAGCACTCTTTAATGGGATCAGCTACTTCCTCATACGATAACATAATTAATATATATAATACTAAGATCTTAATCTAACTTGCAGTTTTCCTTGAGTCGTATTTGTTTCTTAAATTTTATGAAATAGCTTAAGCAAAGCTAACAAATGGAAAAAGGGTTTCATTTCTAAAGACCTCGTGCGAAGAAGCTCAATTGGCCGATAACATGCAAAACGGAAAATGGACTGGGTCCGAACTTCAAAATTTAATTAAATAATGGTTCCAGAAAGAATAACCCCATCATGTGAGAGGGGACTATATAAAAAGCTTACTGACTAAGTTTCATGATGTTTGAACTTATTGCAATAAAGTTATGGACACTCAAACCATGCCAAAACTACAAAGAAATGTATGGTGTCCAACCAAAGCGTCCAGTCAAACATACATTCTTTGTAATTTTAGTATTTTTTTAAAAATTATATTTCCATTTCTAATGACTTAAACTTGCTCAAATTTTAAATTTTAGCTACCTTATATGTGCTTTATCTATCGACAACACATTTCTGTGAGATTGTGCCACTTTTAAAAAAATTAGTCCCAGGCCTCTGCTCGTTTTGTTATCGGCTAATATGTGCACCCCTCCCACTTCAAAATGTATGGATCCGATGATTTTGGTGTAATGCTACTGTCGAGATTTAAAGCAAACTTCATAAGATGGTGGGTAGTAAACGGCACCCGTCAAATCATCGGTGATTTGCGGTATTAGACCAGGTGCCTTGTGCAAGGTAAACTCGTGCAACAGCCTCGACGTAATGACAAACAACTCTTGCTTTGCCAGAGTTTCGCCGACGCACACACGACGCCCCATGCCAAAGGGAAGAAAGCTTTTCGAACCGGCATTTTGGTCAACTTTTCCATTGTCGTTGATGAACCTCGATGGATTGAAATCATCTGGATCCATCCACTCTTGTTTATCTTGATGCATGGCCCATGCATTAAACATCAAAKATGTACCCTTTGGTATGTTGTAGCCTGCTAGAGTCGAATCTTTTGTTGCTTTGTGTAGGATAAGAAGAGGTGCAATGGAAGCTTTTCGGAGAGTTTCATCAATAGTTGCTACCAGATAGGGAAGTTGTGGTCGGTGCTTCCAAAGAGGTAAGGTGTCTGGACCAAGAACACTGTCAAGCTCTTCGTGTATTTTGGATTGCACTTCTGGGTGTTTCACCATGTACAGCATGAACCATAGGAGAGCTGTGGCTGTAGTTTCTAATCCTGCTACAAAAACATCCATCAGAGTCATCACGATATGCTCTTCATTTATGAGACGGTAGTTTCTGCTGTCTTCTTGGTCAGCGTCGCGGCGAGTCTTAATGAGGGCATCCGTAAGGTCCCGTATGACACCATCTTGGTAGGAGTCTTTGTGCTCGTGATACTTGTCAAATATATACTGATGAAGATCATCACGAAGCTTTTTCAACTCTGTGGATGGACCAATCGGGAAATGTATCAGGATTGGCAGGACGTTAAGGATGTTCAAAGGACTCGTTAAATTAGCAAATCTTCGGGTGAGGTTGGATTTTTCGAGAAATTCGTCATCAATCTGTTCAAAGCGCTGTCCAACTGCCATTTGAAAGATAACATTGGTCGTTAGAAACACCACATCTATCTCGGGGTTTGTTGCTTTTCCTGGGGAAATGCGTTGGATCATTTCGTTCACTTCTGAGATAATTTTCTCTTCAAGGAAAGGCTGGTACATGCGAATAGCAGAATAAACTATCTTTCGCTGCAAAACTAAAGTTGCATTAAAGTTACCAATCGCGATGTCTTTGGAGCCCAACGTCATGTAATCCAAAACGAAGGTTTTAGGTCTTCCAGCAAAGTCATTTTTTTTGGCAAGTAGTGCTTCACGAGCGTGTGTTATGGAACTGACGACCACAACACGCTGTAATCCTGGCAACTCGAGGGTAAACACGTCACCATATTTCTTTGCCAGTTTAGACAGAATGACGTGCGTCCTTTTTAATACGTCATTGCCAGACGATATAAGCGTGAGCAAGTTTCCAACAATGGGCAGCGGTAAAGGACCAGGTGGCATGGCCTTTGGCTTGAACAGGTAATTAATGACTATGTAAGTCAACGCCAAAATGGCCAGAGCTGCTGCTATTCCTTGCAACATACTACAAGTAAAATGAAACGGTGCGACAATTAATGGTGAATATGAATACCTAACCTACTACTAGGTTAATCCAATCCTGTCTAGTGCTGACAATTTCTTCATAATTCAGGAGGGAGTCCTTGTATGTACAAGGTTAGGATTGCCCTCTGGTTTTGTGACGTCAGACCATGTTTACAATGGAAATGTTTACAAAGGAAATAGTTGCTCAGAAACAGTGCAATACTGGAATTTTAAAGACAATTGAAACATGAAATGAAAACTCCAGAAAATGATGATTTATTTTCTATTGGCTATAATCAAATACGTGTATGTTTTTTTAACCTTTTTTAATCATTCTCACTGATGATTGCATGGTGTATTTCTCTGTTTTTAGCGATTCGGGGTTACGTAAACTTTTAACGCTGTGTCTATATGGCCGGTTACCGGTCAATTAGGTCTTGAAAATTCTAAATGGCCGGCAGCCCTTAAAACGTGTTTTTTCCCTCTGTTATTATCTAAACGAGCTTCCAAACTCCAAAATAAAACTCTATGACTAAAATGAGTGTGTTAAAACTTACATAAACGTCGCGCCGAAATTCGTTGCACTTAGAGACCCTTAGAGACATTGTGCGAACTTGAACCGACTGCCGGCCACGCAACAACGAAATCCTAAATGGCCGGCATCTCATAAAATAACAGATTTCTCTTTTATTATTCTTATTTAAAGAGTTAAAACAACATAATCTACATTTCTGAAACTTTCATGGTACTGTGGTGTAGAGACATTTTTCTTTTCGAGAAAAATCTCAACCAACACGGCGGACTGCCAGTAACCGCGGTAACACAACATCAAAATCCTAAATGACCGGCAGCTCACAAAAGAACAGATTTGTCTTTTTCTATTTCTATTTAAAAAGTTAAAACAACATAATCTACATTTCTGAAACTTTCATGATACTGTAGAGACATTTC